TTCTGGCGCGGTTAAGTCATCCAAATTTCCTTGCAGTAGATGCAGCAGTTGATTTGATGTAGTCGCTCCACCTCAAATCAGTTGAAATGTTAAAGCCAAGGAGGCGTATTGTGTTACTCTGATAGCAGGTATAAATGGTTCTCTATGGTGGCTAAATAAAAGTAGTTTTGTGTTTGTATTGTGTTGTTTGGTGATATGAAGTTTAATTGAACTGGAGTCCTCTATTGATACATCAGAATTTTCTTACAGGCATTTCATTGTAACTACTCTTGTGTCGTTAAAACGTAAGCGGTAAAAAATATCAATTACGATCTGATGATTTACAAGAAGGGCACGAATTATGCTTTTTACACTTTAGAAAATTTTGCAGTGACGATTTTTTTTCCAAAGATCAGGTTAAAATATTCAGTGTCATAATTTCTTCTACTTATTCTTCTTCTTGAAAACGTTTTATCTTTATTTTTATTTTTTTAGATATTAAGACATCATCACTGCAAAGCAGATGAGTAGTATCAATGTTCGGGGGACAAAATTAAAACAAGGTGTTTATTTCTTAATTTTAACAACGATTCCTTTGGCTAAAATCTGAGAAATGCATACATGACGCTCCTTATTGAGCGTCATATACTTCCATTTGAAACAGTAGTTTAATATTCTTAGTGTTGCATTTTGGGTAATAAAAAGGAAGCGGATATAAAAGCGTCAGTCACTTGTATCAAGTCGGATGCATTTTTCAGAATCTATCGAAGATAATTAGCGTTCTACGTGACGATAACAAACATATAAATAAAAGCAATCTTTTTAAAAAATTATATTTCCATTTCTTCCTTGCCAAGAGACGGGAAAACCAAAAAAATATTGAGAAATGAACGAATGGTGATATTTTATTAGTTGTAGCAGGAAAATAAAAAAAAAAGATGAAATTATTTTTCAGTTAATTTTTTTTATTATTATTTTACCCCAAGAAAGACATTAAATTAACTATGACGTAAGTGGTTCAACGTGTGAAAGAAAGAAAAAAAAGAAGAGAAAAATAGAAGCATTACCAAGAAAGGAGAATAATAAAGGAAAAGGAATTCAGATGTTGGGAAGATTAGTGAAGCCGAAACGAAACGAAAAGTCAGGACCAATAACATTGCAGAATCTTCTTTGGATATTAAAATCTCTACATGCATAACAGAAGCACCAGAGCAGATCTGACAGCAATATTTAATGCATGGATGAATAATAAAGTTATAAATCTGTAAGTTAGATCCTGGTGAGAAAAATAGTCCAGCACAACATAGGGGATAAAACGCCCTAGCAGAGATCTAGTAAGTGGTTTAATATAATCTTTGCAGTTCATGTCAGCGGAAAAGTTAGACCAAAAAGGCGCGATGATTCAATCGCTCGAAGGTTAGCACCAGTCATGCCGAAGGAAGGCAAACAAAGGTACCCTAAGATGATTAAAAGAGAGCAGTTTCGTTTTATCGGTGTTAAATTAGCAAGTCTATTCTTGCCCCATTTAACAGCACATTTATGGCCATTTTTTAGATCAGCTGTCAATAAGGTTTTATCGAACCAATCAGTCTAACCGTTAAGGAGTAAATAGTGGTGTTATCAGCATTAAAATCAATAACCATCATATTAAAACAGATAGTGCTGGAAATCGTTTTTTCGCGCTCAAAGAACAATCAAGACAAAATTTATGTTTCAAAATCGGTAAGCATAATATTAAAACAGATAAAGCTAGAAATCTTTTTTTTTTGCGCTCAAAGAACAATTAAGTTTAAATTTACGTTTCAAAATCAGTAAGCATAATAATAAAACAAATTGAGCCGGAAATTTATTTTTCGCGCTCAAAGAACAATTAAGTCTTAATTTAAGTTTAAAAATCAGTAAGAATAATATTAAAAGAGATAGAGCTGGAAATCCTTTTTCGCGCTGAAAGAACATTTAAGTCTAAATTTAACTTTCAATAAAACATAAGTTAATGCTATAATTTCCTCGTTTTCTTACAGTGGAAGATCCTTCCGGTCTCGTACGTCTTCATCAGTCACCAGTGCGTACAAACTCGTTGATGCGAGAGCTGACGAGACCGTCAACCTCATTGATGCAAGGGCAGACAACTACTTTATTTTCTTAAACATAAATTCAAGAAGCTGAGTAAGTTTCAATAAAATACTAAATTTAAAAAGAATTTCCCATAAACATTTACAAATTATAACTGTCTGGACGATGCTGTAAGAACAGAGATGCAATGAGACACAAAAGAAATGTAATTTCAAAAATCTTTGATTTAAAGAATGGATTGCGATTTAAAATTATATTATCTGTCTCTCGATTAGGTACTCAATTTTGGAACAAGAATATATGGAAAGAATAATGTGTTGCGACATTATCCAAATTGAGCAGATATTTCAAATACACGTTTTCATTATTAATAGGCTAGTCACTCAGCAACAATTCCGGTAAAATAGTTTATAAGGCTTAGTCTTGTAGTGGGGGGAACTGAGTCAAAGTGAGAAATATTGAGAGAAGTGTTAGTAACATCAACAAACTAGATCAAGTAAGTTAGTAACATCATAAACTACAGAAGGAAAAATGGAATGGATGAAAGATAAAAATTCCCGTCATGATGTGTAAATGAGACAAGAGAACAATGTCAAGTTATGGCGCAGAATATAGGACACTGCACAAAGAAATTGGAAATAAATACCGGCCAGCAAAAGATGAATGACTTAACGAAAATTGTACTGAAAGAAAAAGAATGAACGCCACACGTAAGGCAGATATACATAAAAGAATAAGAGAAGTAACAGGACTAAAGACATGCTCTTCAACAGGATGTTTAAACTCAAAAGACGGAACGCTGATAATAGGAAAAGAAAAATACTCTATTCTATAAGTATTCTGAAGAAAAGAACGCTCAGGCCAGAAATAGGACAAGAACAGTGCGGGTTCGTTAAAAACAAGGAACGCAATATTCATGCTCAGAATCTTATCAGAAGAAGCAATACAAATGCAGAAGTACCTGCACCTATGTTTTATAGACTACGCAAAGTACGCCACAAAGACTGGCTACCAATGATAAATTCTGGTAGGATTTCCAGTTCACTCAGAATTGCTTCGTTGTATAGGCTGAAAAAAGTCCAGTGAAAAGACATATCCTTGCCTTACGCCCCTTTCTATTTTGTTATATCCGCTGAATTCATTTTCTATCCGCATGCACGTAGTTTTCTGCTAGTATAGTTTCTTGATTATTCTAATATCTTTCCCAAATATATCAAGGTGGCCGAGCAGTTCCAACAGATTTTTGTGGCGTACTTTGCGTAGTCTATAAAACATACCTGCAGGTACTTCTGCATCTGTATCACTCTTTCTCATAACATTCTTAGCATGAATATCACGTTCCTTGTTCCAGTGTCTTCAACGAACCCGAACTGTTCTTGTCCTATTTCTATCTAAGAAAGCAGAGTGTATAGTTGTCAACAAAAGGAATAGTTTGAATAAGTCCGTTGAGAAAACACACCCTTGTCTGAATCAACTTTCTATTTTTTTTTTATATCTGCTGAACTCATTTTCTATCCGTGTGCAGTCGGTTTGGTTCCAGTGCAGGTTCTTGATTATCCTAATATATTTCCCAAATATATCAATGTTGCCGAGCAGTTTGAATGTCGAAAGATGCCTTCCAAAAGCTACGCAAAATATTAAGAAACAGGAAATTTTCAATAGAAACAAAAGAAATTGTACTGTTATGTAAAACTGATCCTCCTATGTGGCAGTGAATGCTGGGTAATATTCTTACTGATGGAGAGTAGACTTAGAATAAGAAAACACGTATTCTAGAGAAGGATGCTGAGAATAGCATGGGCCGAACACGTGATCAACAACGAAGTTTTAAGTAAAATGGAAAGAAAAAGTACAGTTATTCTTAACATCAGAAAAAAGATAGTTAAAATTTCTAGGGCGCATAATGAGAAAAGAGGACTTAGAAAATTTACCAGTCACAGGGCATATTGAAGTTAAGAGAAACAGAGGAAAGTAGCGAATAACGTAATGATCGTTTGTGGAATCGGGATTACAAGAGAAAACAAAAACAACTCTTCCTAAGATCTTCAAAGGACAGGAAGTTATGGCGGAAAATGATCGTTTACGTTCGGTTGTGAGCGTAGTTGTCCACAATATTCTCTGCTTTGGAAGAGACACAGCACATGAAACAAGTTGTCTTTAAAAAATCCCAAACTATCCTTGTTTATTTTATTTTATTCAGTTGAAATATGTTAAGACATGAATTATTTTAAGTCAATCTTTTTTTTTTAATACTCGAGCATTAATTGGTCAAAATTACATTTTTTAAACCCTATTTTCTTTCCTTTTATTTTTGTCCCTTGAAATTCGACATCGTTCAGCGTTCATTCCTGACATTTTTTTTTGACACATACGAAGCTGAATTTAATATTCCACTTTTTTTTTTAAGCGGCTATCCGTAACATCCCTTTTTTAATTCTCTCTCTTTACTTACAGCTTTCTACGTTTTCACACGACTTTGCCATTCGAAAGTTCCATCTTGAGTGTTGATATCCTTTTTCAATTACTCCCGACTTGACGTTAATGTCTTCCTTCATTGAAAAAAAGAAAAAAAATCAATTCTAAGCGATTTTGATGGTTACGTTACAATTCGCTTTTCTGATTGCATGTCTCAGTTCTTGTTTTTCATTTTTCTTTTTCTTTTCTTTTTTTTCGTTTTCTTCACTGCTTCACTCTCGCTCTTTGATTCTTTTGTGGACGTTTTTTCTTTCGCTTTTTTATTTTCTTCTTTCTTTTCTTTCTTATTTTCTCAACTTTCTTTCCATTTTATTCCTTTTTCATCTCTTGTCTTATTTATTCTGCTTTTTTTTTTTTTTTCATATTTCATTCATACTTTCTTTTCGTTTTTTTGCTTTCACTTTTTTCAGTTTTCATTATTTTTATTTCGTTATCCATGCACGCGCTTTTATCATTCTATTTCTTTCTTTCAGTCTTGTTCTTTCTTTCTTTCTTTCTTTCTTTCTTTCTTTCTTTGTCTCCATTTCTTTATTCTATTCTGCCTGTATTTTTGTCTCTCTCTTTCTTTTCTCTCTATCTCTTCCTTCCTTCTTTTCATTCTTTCTTTCTTTCTTTCTTTTTCGTTCTTATACTTTTCATTTTTCTCTTTTTTTGTCATTTTATTATTTTCCGTTTATCCTTCTTTCTTTTCTTCTTTTATCTTCTGTTTTCATTTTATTTAAATTTTACTCTCATTTTCTTTCTTTCTTTCTTTCTTTCTTTCTTTCTTTTTACCCAGTCTCATTATGCTTATTTTTTCTTTCTTTTTTCTTTCTTTTTTCTTTCTTTCTTTCTTTCTTTCTTTCTTTCTTTCTTTCTTTCTTTCTTATGTTCATATTACTTTGGCCCATGCTTAAAGTTATTTCTAATTTAACTGCTCAGATTTTTCCTTTTCCTTTATTTCTTCGTTCCATCTTTCCCTCCTTCCTTCATGCCTCCCTAAATTTTTTCCTTCTTTCATTCTCACTCCCTTCCTTCCTTTTTTCCTTCCTACCTCCCTTCCTTCCTACGTTGCAGCTTTCCTTCCTTACCTATCTCCCTCCCTCCCTTCCTTCCTCCCTTCCTTCCTTCCTTCCTTCCTTACCTATCTCCCTCCCTCCCTTCCTTCCTTCCTTCCTTCCTTCCTTCCTTCCTTCCTTCCTTCCTTCTCTCCGATCGCTCTTTGTCTTTTTAGTTTGATTTCATTTTTTTCTTTCTTTTCTACATTCTTCTTTCGTTATTCCATTTCAAAATTCTATTTATTTTATGTCTTTGTCATACTCTTTCTCATTGGTTTCCTTTTTTCTCATTTCTTTTCCATTTTTATTCCTTCCTTTTTCTGATTATGCTCTCTTTTGTTCCATCCGTTTATTAAGTTATTTCTTTTTCGCTTTTCCTCTTATTTCTGTTAATTCAGAATTAGTCCTTCTGCTTTTCTTCTTATTTTTTTTCATTTTCGTCTTTATTTTCTTTATCTTCTTTTCATTTTTCTACTTTTTCCTTCTTCAAATTATTTTTCCTTTTCTTTAATTTTCGGTTTTATTTTTTTTTTTGTAGTATCTCTTTCATCTTTACCCTATTCCATTTCTCTTTCATCTTTATCCTATTCCATTTCTCTTTCGTCTTTACCCTATTCCATTTCTCTTTCATCTTTACCCTATTCCATTTCTCTTTCGTCTTTACCCGATTCCTTTTTTCGTTCGTCTTTATCCTATTCGATTTTCTCTTCCGTCTCTACCTATTCCATTTCTCTTTCATCTTTTACTCTATTCCATTTCTTTTCAAACATATTTATTCGAACTTTCCTTCGTCTTTTATATTTTTCCTTTTATTCACATATGCTGTATTTCCTTTTTCTTTTCATCCTATTCATCGTCTTTTAGTTCATTTGCTTTTCAATTTCGTTTATTCACTTTTCTTATTTTCTTTCTGTTATCAATTTTCGCTTTCCCATTCTCTTTAAACCACTCTCATACCATTTTTTCATCATTGCATCCTCATTTTGAGTAAAGCAAGATACCTAACGTATATGCATTTAAATAAAACACTCCATAAAAAAAATTACACTCAAAAAACGGAATTACTTGTAGGTAAAATATACATATCTGAACGTATGCCCGCATACAGAAATAATCTGATATATCTATCTACACGAGACACTGTGCAGTCAGAAAATTATATATTGTGCACAGAAAGAAATGTAAGCGTAGAGATTTTGACTCATTGGAACGTGCAAGCGACGAAGACGTGTGCAGATGTACATTTTTGAATGAAAAAAATTGCCGCTCTCGCCAAAAAAGCATCTCATTTTCTTAAGCTAATTGTGTCAGCGTTCTAGTCCTAACACCCTGTTCACATCAAGAGAGCGACTCTTTCAAATCTACCAGAGGACTTTGAAAATGCAAAAATCTGTCTTTTTATGTTCGCATAAAAGTGTAGATAAAATGTTATCCAAGATTTGCCTGGCCCTATCTATCTATCTATCTATCTATCTATCTAGTCCGTTAATATCTATGTATTTATAAATCTCATTTTGTTCACCTCTTCTTCCTCTCTCACTCTCTCAATATCTTTCTCTCTCTCTCTGTATATATATATATATATATATATATATATATATATATATATATATATATATATATATATATATATATATACATACATATATATATATATATATATATATATATACATATATATATATATACATACATATATATATATATATATATATATACATACATATATATATATGCATACATACATATATATATATATATACATATATATATATATATATATATATATATATATATATATATATATATATATATATATATATATATATATATATATATATATATATATAAATAAATATATGTATATTAATTATGTATTATATGCATGGTACTTATTGAAAAGCGCTCAATATCAGGGATAGAGCTGACATATACAAACTCACATCAATGCAACTAAATATGTTTGTGTATATATATATATATATATATATATATATATATATATGCGCGGTACTTATTAAACAGTGCTCAATATAGAGCCAACATATTTAGTTCTACGGATAAGAGTTTGACGCTGGATATCCACACAACTAAATGCTTATATTCGACGTTATATTTGATGCTTCATTCAGCACCTCGACTTTGGAATTTCGTAGACGAAACTTATAGTAATCGTTCGGTCTACTCATCAGGTCATATATATAAAATTAAAATTACCTTGATATTTTAATATTAATTGTACTAATTCTATAAAAATAAACATTTATTTAAAAAGAAATTCCAGATATTTAAGAAAAAAGGAGTGAGGGCAAAGTCTTTGAGATATTTGTATGATTATTGCCCACTTTCCATTTTTTTATTGTTTTATAACCTTGTTATCCAGTCACTGATAGTAGTGTAATTTGTATATATATATATATATATATATATATATATATATATATATATATATATATATATATATATATGCGTTAGTGTGTTTATTTATTTCTCTGTGTATTTTTACTTTAATTTATTATAAGTTTATGATCAGCTGCTGACTGATATAATATTTTCTCAACACCCCAGTCGATGAGATAAGGCTTCCATTTTCTTTTATTTTCGCCAAATTTAAGTCGGGCTAAATTTACTTTAACCTTTCTCAAAGGATAGATTTCGCTAAAACAAAACGTATACTGTATGGAATAAGTTATTTAAAATTAACATTTGAAAAGTTGAAATAAAATTTGTCCTTTGAAAAACAGATTTTTGTAAGATTATTTTAAAATTAAAGTAAAAAATACACTGCCTATTAACTGTGTCTCTAGCTCCAATAGGGGATCAGATCTACACAACCCGACTAGGCACATTAACTTTATTTAATACATTTTTTTACTTTATTTTTTCTTTCTTTATTTGTCTTTCTTTCTATTTTTGTCTTTCTTTTTTATTTTGTTCTTTTTTTATTAGGAACAATATCAACGAAATGTATTTCTGTCGATGTTTTGAGGCACTGAGTTAAAACAATTAATATTGGATCTAGCTTAAGTCAAGGATGAAAACGAGAAACTACGAAAAAAATGCGTTGCTTTGAAATAGATACAATTAAATATTAGCTCACTCGGACTGACCCCCAACTTACAATGTCTCCACAGATATATATATATATATATATATATATATATATTGATGCATGTTTAATTAAATAATATAGACAAGTTTTGTCTAATTATTTTATATATATTATTTTAATATACTTGTCTATATTATTTAATGTAACATGCATCAATGAAAAAATGCTGCCTAAATACACTCAATTTAAATTATATGATCTAGCAGCCCACCAAACTCTCAACACTTGGAATCATAAATGTAGCCTTGTGAAAAGGCAAATTGAAATATCCAATTGTTTTTCTGTGTGTTAAAAGTGTTTACATAAAATAAATAGACTAACTTGTCTATATTATTTAATGAAGCATGCATCAATGAAAAAATGCTGCCTAAATACAAACACACAATATATATATATATATATATATATATATATATATATATATATATATATGTATATCAGCCTATTACTGCCTATCGATAGATATGTCAGCATATTAATGGTTAACTATCTCAATCTGTTCATATCTATACATATGTTTATATATCTATCTATTTATCTCAATCTGTTTATATCACAATAGATAGATAGATAGATAGAAAGTTTATTTGCACAGAAATGTATGAAATTACATTCCTCTATTTCATCATCAGAAAAAATAGTCGTCACTTGCATGTGAATTTACGAAGAAAAGATTAAAATACTGAACAGTTAGCCGAGCCACTCACACATATTTGTCGTATCTCTCAAGTCTTTAGTAAGACTAAAAAAATGATCATTAGTTCAATACCAAAGGCAGGTGATGATTCTGTGAATGTATTTTTTTTATATATATTTAAGGAACTGTGTGTATATGTGTCAATCCGAAAGGCTCCTACTGTGATGTATAGTGCCATAGTCTTACCATCCTACATGAGTTTGTGATTTTAGGAGCAAGTAATCTTATAAAGCTCCACGCCAAAAAAGATTTGAATCAGAGTGGTTTTTTCTCCAAGTTAGAGTTAGGTATGCTTTGCTGTTAAACCATTTATTGATTCATATCTTTCCAAGAGCATCTGTGCGAAAGCGAACGCAATGTCGTCGGTTTGGTATTTGAACCCGTTACGCCTATACCATATCCCGCGCCGAAAACTACAATTCTCTGCGCATGTGAACGATCAAAACGCATGACAAGAAAGATGTAGAATAAAAAATGAAGACGAGAGAAAGCAAACACATGAATACAACGTTAAAAAAGGTATAAAATTGAGATTGTCATGAGAAAATGTGACAGCTATGAATAGAAGGAAAGAAAAAAAGAAAAAAAGCAACAAAAAGAAGAAAGAAGAAAGAGCCAAAGGTATAAAAAAAAAGAGGAGGAGTAAAAAGAAAGAATGAGAAAAATAGAATGAGTGAAAAAAGGAAAATCATGAAAGAAAGAGAGAACGAATATAAGAAACAGAGAAATTAAAGAAAAAATCGAGAAGAAAAAAAAAAGAAAAAAAGAAGAAAAATGAATAAAAGAAGAAGAAAGAAAAAGAGAACAAAAGAAAACAAAATGAAAGATAGTACGAAAGAAAGAAAAAAATAAAGAGAGAGTGCAAGAGAGAAGAAACAAAAAGTGAAGTCCAAGATAGAAAATGAGAGAGAACGAAAAAAAAAAAGAAGAAAGATAGAAAGGAAGATATAAGAAGGAAAGAAAGGAAGGAAGAAAGTTTAACGTCTCCTGCCGATACCTCATAAATAATGGACTATTCCGTCATGATCGCTTGGAAAGAAGGGAAAGGAGCCGACTGGGTTTCAGTGAGGAAATGAAAGAAAGAAAGAAAGAAAGAAAGAAAGAAAGAAAGAAAGAAAGAAAGAAGAGTGCAACGAGAGAGAGAATAAAAGAAAAGAAAGGAACGAAGGTATTATCAACAAAAAAAAAAAAAGAAGAAAAAAAAGAATATGGAACCGAGCAGAAAAAATCTAAAGTAAAAATGAAATATATGAAAAAATGAGGCAAGGATGTTGAAACAAAATAAATGGAACGAAATACCTCAAAAGGAGAAAATTGGTGTTCAGTGTGAAAATGAAAAAAAATGAAAGACATAAACGCGAAGAAGGAGAACCATGTGAAACGAGAGACATAACGATGTTAAAGAGGAAAAAAAGAGCAGGCAAATAAGAGAAAGAAATAAAGAATGGTTTGAAAAGAAAGAAAGAAATACGTGAAATGGAAGAAAGAACAAGACAGAATAACAAAAAAATAAAATCTGATTTGCTCCCTAAAGGGCTCACACAAGGAAATGTCATCGTACAAAAGGGAGATAACCCATATGGACAAATGGCGCATAATGGAGCCAAAGAAACGGCTTTGAAACAAGATTGAATGGAAGAGAAAAGAGTCGCCTAAATCGGGTCAAAATGGTCAAAGCAAAAGGGATGGGCGACGTAACCTTTTACAGGAATCGCAGACTATTCTGTAAAAGTCTGAAAGGGGAAAAAAGAGAAAATGTCAAAACAAAGACGAAGGAAACGCTATTGCGATTAGAGCTCACTGGTTAGAATAGTGGACGAGAGATGGGAGTAAATTCAAAAATCTATCGGGGTCACATGATTCAATATTTGTTTATCTATTAATAATGAAATTGAAGGTTTAGTCACGTATTGAAAACACCTTGGAAGACCGTGATTATGGAAACCAATATTCAAGTGATGAAGATTTTTCGGAAGAAGGAAAAACTGCCACAAAGTATGTTAAACTCAAAACAATAGGGACGTTAATGATGGAATCATAAAGTATTACAAGATTTGCTTTTACACCTAATTAACGCTTTCTCTGTTATTACGCCTCTATAAAACTGTTATGTTTTATTAACTCTTTCTCTGTTATTAAGCCTAATTAACTCTTTCTGTATTATGCTTTATTAACTCTTCTCGTATTATGCTTTATTAACTCTTCTCTGTTATTAAGCCTTATTAAGTCTTTCTGTGTTATTAAGCCTTATTAATTCTTTCTCTGTTATTACGCCTTATTAACTCTTTCTCTGTTATTACGCCTTATCAAAACTTTCTGTGTTATGCTTTATTAACTCTTTCTCTGTTATTACGCCTTATTAACTCTTTCTCTGTTATTACGCCTTTTTTTGCAACTTAATATTTTTGGGGGAAAGAAACAATTCTTCTAGATTCTATTATTTAGTCCATCTTTGGGGAAGAATAAAAGATCTCATGCCTTTCCAAAGGAACTGTGTAATTTAATGCAACTAACATGATTGGAATATGAACTCCGTTTCCAAATTCTCATTACGAGCCGTTATCCATTACACGATCCACGCTTCCTAAAAATAAGAGAGTTTGTACTAAGATATATAAAATAAAATAATTCAGACATGTTCAATATTGCATCGTAATATCGTATTAAAAAAACAAACATTATCAACTTTTCGACAATGTCTACGGTTTTCATTTATTTAAAGTAACATTTTAAAAATATATAACTCCATTTACCTATTTAATGAGAAAATAATGAGAAATGGGTGGTCATTACCTCGACTGATAAGATTGGGTGTGCGTGTGGTGTAATGGATAACAGCTCGGAATTGTTAATAGGAAAGCCTAAATTTGCTTTAGGCCCAAATACCCCTGGGGAAAGGTACCTTTTCTCATCACTAGACCATTATTATATAAAAAATAATATTAAAATCTAAAAATATTTTCTGCCTTTAAATAATCTGCAATGAGTTGATAATCCCCCTATATATATATATATATATATATATATATATATATATATATATATATATATATATATATGCAGAAGCTAACTTGCACAAAGGAAAGGACACATAAAAATGAAAAAAAAAAAAATTATAAGCAATTAATTGCTGATACCCGTTGACTAATAGACGGAGTAATTCTCGGAGGGTCGGTCTACGAAACTCTTGAATCGGGATAGCATCAGTCATATTTAAAACAATATATATATATATATATATATATATATATATTATCGGTATCATCCCAAGCAAAGCAGTACAGTCACTAGCAAGCAAGGGGTTACAGGGTTTGGAGAAATTAGGAACAGACGCTGAGATTTTTTCACGCATTAGCAAGTGGTGAATTTAGGGAGTTTGAAAATAGAGTTCGGTCAGATAGGGACGTTAATATCACAACTAAAAGAAGTGTGTGCATGGCCTGCTGTACACACCTGAAACATAGATAACATATCGGAGGTGCATAAAATTACTGCAGCCACTCCAAAGATCAAAATGCAGCAACACTGAAACAATAATAATCCTCAGCCAGATGCGATAGACAGGACACGTTGTGAGAATGATGGATAACAAGATTCCCAAACAACTTTTCTACATGGAACTGAAGACAGATTTAGCGACTATAATACAATCCTAGGAAGAGCTTTTAAGATTATCTAAAGGATAATCTGAAGAAATTGCTTTAAAACGTACGGAGTGGAGACAGTTTAGAAGGTTGGGATGTAACACCATTGAGGATGAATGTCTCAGGTATGCTCAGATCAAGTGTGATCTCCAAAGAGCCGCTGAGTCTGATTTACCAATTAATATGCATTCTTGGAAATGTGGTACGCGTGAGTGCACGCCGTTGTCAGGGACAGGTTATGTAAAACATCTGAAAGCACATCATAACAACAAGAAGCAAGCCAACAATGCAAAATACGCAAGCCTGTCTCAATGTCCTGTCGACAATGCCTGTGTTGTTTGAAACAAGGATTGCAGATCATCATCAAATGGCAGCATTTAATTCCAAATACTGTTGTCCTCCAAACACCTGAATGCAACAGCAATAATAATCCTCAAACAGTTGCGATGGACAGGACACATTATGAGTAAGGGGAAGAACAGGATTTCCAAACAACTTTCCTGCGGGAAATTGAAGACATGAAAGCGTGGGTAACTGAAGACAGAAAAGCGCGGGCAACTGAAGACAGGAAAGCGCGGTTGACTGAAGACGGGCAAACGCGGCCAAATGAAGACAGGAAACCGCAGGTAACTGAAGACGATAAAGCGCGGGAAACTGAAGACAGGAAAACGCGGGTAATTGAAGACAGGAAAGAGTGGGTAACTGAAGACAGGGAAACGCAGGCAACTGAAGAGAGCAAAGCGCGGGAAACTGAAGACAGGAAAACGCAGGCAACTGAAGACAGTAAAGCGCGGGCAACTGAAGAGAGGAAAGCGCGGGAAACTGAAGACAGGAAAGCACGGGCAAATGAAGACAGGAAAACGCGGGTAACTGAAGACGGGAAAGCGTGGGTAACGGAAGACAGGAAAACGCGGGTAACTGAAGACGGGAAAGCGCGGGCAATTGAAGAGAGGAAAGCGCGGGAAACTGAAGACAGGCAAAGGCAGGTAACTAAAGACGCGAAAGCGTGGGTAACTGAAGACAGGAAAACGCGGGTAACTGAAGACAGAAATGCGCGGACAACTGAAGAAAGGAAAGCGCGTGCAACTGAAGACGGGAAAGCGTGGGCAACTGAAGACAGAAAAGCGCGTGCAAGTGAAGACAGGAAAGCGCAGTCAACTGAAGACGATAAAGCGCGGGCAACTGAAGACTGCAAAGCGCGGGCAACTGAAGACGGGAAAGCGCGGGCAACTGAAGACAGGAAAACGCGGGTAACTGAAGACAGGAAAACGCAGGCAACTGAAGACAGGAAAACGCTGTCAACTGAAGACAGGAAAGCGTGGGTAACTGAAGACAGGAAAACGCAGACAACTGAAGATAGGAAAACGCGAGCAACTGATGACGGGAAAGCGTGGGTAACTGAAGACAGGAAAACGCAGGCAACTGAAGACAGGAAAGCGTGGGTAACTGAAGACAGGAAAGCGCGGGAAACTGAAGACAGGAAAACGCGGGCAACTGAAGACAGGAAAGCGTGGGTAACTGAAGACAAGAAAACGCAGACAACTGAAGATAGGAAAACGCGAGCAACTGAAGACGGGAAAGCCTGGGTAACTGAAGACTGGAAAACGCTGGCAACTGAAGACAGGAAAGCGTGGGTAACTGAAGACAGGCAAGCGCGGGAAACTGAAGACAGGAAAGCGCGTGCAACTGAAGACAGGAAAACGCGGGTAACTGAAGACAGGAAAAGGCAGGTAACTAAAGACGCGAAAGCGTGGGTAACTGAAGACAGGAAAACGCGGGTAACTGAAGACGGGAAAGCGCGGGCAACTGAAGACAGGAAAGCGCGGGAAACTGAAGACAGGAATGCGCGTGCAACTGAAGACAGGAAAACGCGGGTAACTGAAGACAGGAAAAGGCAGGTAACTAAAGACGCGAAAGCGTGGGTAACTGAAGACAGGAAAACGCGGGTAACTGAAGACGGGAAAGCGTGGGCAACTGAAGACAGGAAAGCGCGTGCAAGTGAAGACTGGAAAACGCAGTCAACTGAAGACGATAAAGCGCGGGCAACTGAAGACTGTAAAGCGCGGGCAACTGAAGACAGGAAAGCGCGGCAACTGCAGACGGAAAAGCGTGGGCAACTGAAGACAGGAAAGCACGGGCAATTGAAGACAAGAAAGCACGGGCAACTGAAGACGGGAAAGCGTGGGCAACTGAAGACAGTAAAGCGCGGGCAACTGAAGACAGCAAAGCGCGGTTAACTGAAGACGGGCAAACGCGGCCAACTGAAGACTGTAAAACGCAGGCAACTGAAGACGATAAAGCGCGGGAAACTGAAGACAGGAAAACGCGGGTAATTGAAGACAGGAAAGAGTGGGTAACTGAAGACAGGGAAACGCAGGCAACTGAAGACAGGAAAGCGCGGGCAACTGAAGACGGGCAAACGCGGCCAACTGAAGACTGTAAATCGCTCGCAACTGAAGACGATAAAGCGCGGGAAACTGAAGACAGGAAAACGCGGGTAATTGAAGACAGGAAAGAGTGGGTAACTGAAGACAGGGAAACGCAGGCAACTGAAGACAGGAAAGCGCGTGCAACTGAAGAGAGGAAAACGCGGGTAACTGAAGACAGGAAAGCGTGTGTAACTGAAGACAGGAAAAAGCAGGCAACTGAAGATAGGAAAACGCGAGCAACTGAAGACGGGAAAGCGTGGGTAACTGAAGACAGGAAAACGCAGGCAACTGAAGACAGGAAAACTCGGGTAACTGTAGACAGGAAAGCGTGGGCAACTGAAGAGAGGAAAGCGCGGGAAACCGAAGACAGGAAAGCGCGTGCAACTGAAGACAGGAAAACGCGGGTAACTGAAGACAGGAAAAAGCGGGTAACTAAAGACGCGAAAGCGTGGGTAACTGAAGACAGGAAAACGCGAGTAACTGAAGACAGGAAAACGCAGGAAACTGAAGACAGGTAAACGCAGTCAACTGAAGACGATAAAGCGCGTGTAACTGAAGACAGGAATGCGCGGACAACTGAAGAAAGGAAAGCGCGTGCAACTGAAGACGGGAAAGCGTGGGCAACTGAAGACAGGAAAGCCCGGGAAACTGAAGATAGGAAAACGCGGGTAATTGAAGACAGGAAAGCGTGGGTAACTGAAGACAGGAAAACGCAGGCAACTGAAGACAGGAAAACGCGGGCAACTGAAGACGGGAAAGCGTGGGCAACTGAAGACAGGAAAGCGCGTGCAACTGAAGACAGGAAAACGCTGGCAACTCAAGACTGTAAAGAGCGGGCAACTGAAGACAGGAAAGCACGGGCAATTGAAGACAATAAAGCACGGGCAACTGAAGACGGGAAAACGCAGGCAACTGAAGACAGGAAAGCGCGTGCAACTGAAGACAGGAAAACGCGGGTAACTGAAGACAGGAAAACGCAGGCAACTGAAGACAGGAAAGAGCGGGCAACTGAAGACAGGTAAGCGCCGGCAACACAGGTTAGCAAAAGGTTTAAAGATGATCTGAAGGATCATTTGAATGGATTACATATGGAGGTGCATAACGTGGAGGAACTAACTTTAAAGCGTACAGTGTGGAAGCAGTTTATTAGGGATAGATGCAATACCTTTGAAGATGAATGTCTTCAGGATGCTCAGATAAAGCATAATCTGCAAAAGGCATTCACTCAGCTTTGTCAACTAATATGCAGTCTCGGAAATGTGACGCGTGTGAGTGCATGATGTCGTGTAGGGCAGATTATATTAAACCATCTGCATTTTATAAATGTTGATGGTATAATAAAATGGCTTTGATGCGTGTTTATATATAGCAAAATATTTATCAGGATCAACTCTAAGTTTCTACGCAATAGATTATGTGGTTTTCTAATGTATATGATGAAAAATAGTTTGAAACAAAGCCTCATAGCTTCCACCCTAGGCAATATCGAAAGAAACAACATTATCTAGGAGATAAGAACTGAAACAAGAAAGCTTCCCTAAGAATAAATGCACAATTATAACTCCATCCGATAACGGAGGCAAAATAGTTATCATGAAGGCAAACAACTATATTAAAATATTAGAATAACTCTTTTAAAACGGAAACTATGAAATAATAATTCGGATTTTAAGGCTGTTCTGGGGTAGGAACATGATTGTGGAGGGGATTAAGACCCTCCCCTATATTCTTAAAATAGAAATGATGATGTATAGATTTGCTTCTTTAAAAAGAAATAATTCTCTAAAAATTTACTACATTTTTATTAAAATAATAATTTGAAAAGTAGATAGAAGAATTTATCTTTACCTAAGATAAATAGATTTTATTTGTTTGAAAACAATAGAGTACAGTAATTAAATAATGGCTTATTTAAAAATATGTATTTAAAAATATTGCAGGTGGGCGATCACCTCCCCCGGATGCTAGCCTTCCATCTCCAGAAAGTACGGCGTTGATATTGTTATAGCAAGATTGTATCTAGATCCCAATAGTTAATAACACTTGTAAAAAATGTTGGCTATTCCACTAAGTCTCCTATCCCTTCTGCAAGTACGGCCCTGCTATAGTTGTAGTGAAGTTTCATCTCATTTTTTTAAATATAGGCAAGTGGGTGCCCTAGCCTGCAAATCCCGACTCCAGAACGGCCGTAAAATCAACTTTCAAACGACTTTAATTTCATAGTTATCGAATTTTCCTACTTTGTCAAAATTGCCGAATTTTCCGTTACTGTATTTTCCTTTATTCCTCTTAAAAAGATGGTAGTAGCACTTACGAAAAAAAAAGAAAACAAAACAAAACAAGGAACACGAAAATTTCAACAAAACAGTTAAGAAACCTTTACAAAATGAAATCAAATCCGGGACTAAACTAATAGAACACACGCACACTATTTGGTTGATCCAAAACACAGAAACCCAACATACCCATGAAACCAATTGTGTCCGGCATAAACTGTGCCCTCCACAAATTAGCGAACGCAATTAGAAAACGTCTGTGAGAAATTCTGCAATTTAAGCTCCTATTGGCTGATTTGTAACGACTAATTTCATTGGTCGAATTTTGACTTGGTTTTTTCGAGGGCATATTTCAACGGCCCGTGCCCTTTTGAGTTCAGTTGCGGCAAATTATTGGAAATGTCCGGACTCATTTTTTAATCTCTTTGCAGGGCCTTTAGCGCCCAAGATCAAGCCTAAATAATTAGGCAATGATTCTTCTTCAGCAACCAAAATGGTAATGCTTCAGAGACGACGTCATGTCCCAGCTTCTTAATACTTTCAAGGCTGTATAATTCAGTCATTTATTGACTATCGTCAAATGTGTACGTTCTACACGAAGAACTTTATGCATGATCTCGACAATAGCCGAGTTTCAACTTCAGCAACCGAAATGGTAAGGCTCCAGCAACGACCAGCAAATTCCAGCTTCTCCAACTTCGTAAAGACCAATTGAGTCCTACTGAAGTAAAAGACACTACCTATTCTTTGAAGAACTAACCCACCCTGTTCCCAGGGGAAAAAAAGAGCAAAACCTTTTTTTGCAAGGATACAATAAAATTTGTTTTAAGTTTTAAGGTAGGCCTTGTTGATTGTATGTCTTTCTTGTCTCTGCCAAGGGTTGAACTGTGTGAGAAGAAATTCTCCGTTCCTAGGCACCATTAAACACTCTGGTGACTTAAGAACCATAAACAGGGAAAACAAGCTTAGGGAAAGCTTAGGGCTAGCTTAGATATCAAATTATAGGAAAATATACCGCTCACAAATATCTCAACATATTAAGAAATCACCACCAAAGAATCCAAAGAAAAAGTTCCTCTGCTGTCCCATAAAATTATAAAACTGGTCAAACTAATTACTAACCACTTTTTTCTTTCCATAAGAGTTTATACAGTGTAACCCGGATATAAGAGACCCGGATATAAGAAAAACCCGGATATAAGAGAGATTTTCTCTCGTCCCAAATTAGAGCCTGTGTTAATGTATACATATAGACCAAACCGTGATATAAGAGAAACCCGGATATAAGAGACTTCTTCTCCGGTCCCGACAACTCTCTTACATCCGGGTTACACTGTACAATCAAAATTTCGGTTTAATGATGGGTTTCCAAATAAGCGGTGTTCTTACTTGAATGTTTCTAGGAATTTTAAAGTCCGGCCCATTTAAATATGTTATAACTAAAAGTTCACTTTCCTCAGATATATAGCTGAGGGCTTTTAATATATATATATATATATATATATATATATATATATATATATATATATATATATATATTCGAATGTAATGAGAAGGAAAATAGTATACAATTCTAACGTTCACAGCATTAATTCAAAAGAGGACTCAATACCTATAGTAGACCAATAATTATTTATTATATTTTTTTACTATAAACATAAACAATTTACAATTTAAAATTACAATATATATATATATATATGTTTCATTAAATAATATAGACAAGTTTTGTCTATTTATTTTAAAAAAGTTCCTTTCATATTGTCTAATAAGCTTAATAACATTATCGTTGTAAGACAAAAGGAATACACCCTATAGACACATGTCTAAGCTTTCGGCTTACACAAGCCATTAACAGTGAAGACAATTGCAATAAATCAAACAACACACGGACAAAACAACAATGATAGTCTGCCCTTTCTGTATGAAAATGTCCAAGTAACTACACACTCGTATATACGAGACGCGGAAGGGAAAATCGCGTTGCAACTGGTGACGTCACACATGACCACGCGAGAGTGAAAAACGAGAACTATTAAGTATGGGAAGACGTTGGTATAAACCAATGGGTTCTGTTATAAATTACAGGCATTTTAGGATATTTGTGAAGATTTCATAGTTTATTTTGTTCAGGTAGGGTTCAACTGTTTTATGTATAAAGCTTCAAAAATTTTTAATTTTTGTTTCTTGTTTTCATGTTTAAGTATAGTTGTGTTGTCAACAAGGATTTTCTGGAATTGAGTACGCGGATAGGCATGTTGTTTTAAATGCCTAAAAATGTTAGAGTTTTCATTTAAATATAGTCAAGCGCCGTGAAAGCGAGTTTGTGGTGTGACCAACAGAAATATTATTTACTTCGTTGGAGATACAATCTCCCAAAGGGCACTTGAATTTGTAAACTAAATGTTGGTTTATTGCAAATTGCTAACGGGGAGAGGGGAAGAATAATTAAGTTGGATATACTAGATTTAGTGTAGGACATGATTAACCAATTTTTTTTGCTAGCGTCTATTGTGGATATATTAGCATGTACTAATTTTTTTAGTATATTTTTATCTTGTTTATAATTTGTATGCTTTTGACTACAATAAAAGAGATTAATATGTTTAGAATTAGTTGAAGCAGTATTATGTTCTATTTGCTTAGTATTAAGACTTCTAAGAAAGTATTTTATTTGTTCATCAACTGTATAGTTTGGAAAGCTATTATCAATTATAATTAATGGCTTACGTAAGCCGAAAGCTTAGATTGGATTTAAACATGTATCAATATGGTGCTTTCCTTTCGTCTGTCAAAGATAATGTGATTAAGCTTATCAGACAATATGAAAAGAACTTACTTAAAATAAATAGACAAAACTTCTCTATATTATTTAATGAAACATGCATCATGAAAAATTGCTGCCTAAATATATATATATATATATTTGGTTGGATTGATGTGAGTTTGTGACCCTGGGTTTCACGCTTTTGCGATCGTCAGACAAACTGATTAATTTTTTAAAAATTTTGGGTTTATGTAGATTGCGTGTATTAGTGTTATTATGAGAGACGGGGGGATCGTCGTCGTGATGTCATCGTGCTAATGCAAACATGATAAAAATGATTTACTTGTGAAAATCAGAAAACAATTCGGCACCCCAGTTATAGTCCAAGGTTAGAACCAAGGAAGAACAACACGAACACAAGAGTAGAATAACAAAGATATATTACAACAGAAATATAGTACAAGAAGTTGAAGGTGTTAGTAATGACTGTCCGCCTGGTTTAGAGTGAACTAATATTGTCTCGACTCATTACACCATTCATTCATTATACCCCTTGAGAGGTGCAGTATTTATAGTGTCAGGAAGAGTCCATTATCGTTATAGGTAAGGTCCCATAATAGTTAAAAAGAAGGTGGGAACAAGTTTTCAAGATTTTGTGGGTATGTCTGGGTTGACCAATCAAAAGATAGATCACAGCTGAAGCTGAAAAGTGAAAAATTAAGTTGGAAGTTAAGGGTAGATGGGTTATTGATTCATGTCTAGATTAATTGACATTTTTAAGGGATGTTACTACAGACGACATCCGGTTACGAACATTAATTTAAAATACAGTGAATTAGACAGCGAGACATATTTAACAAAAAAGTTAATTTTAAAGCATTTCAAGATTTTTAAAAAAACTTTTATATATACTTGAGAACTGTGTTGTGATTAAATCATTTATATATATATTATTTTGAACCCAAAATACAATACTTAT